GTGATAACACCTAAGAACAGATAAATAAAACAAACATATATAAAACATTGATGAACAGGATAAAAACAAATTTTGTTAAAATACATGATTATCTCAAGAAGTTTTTAAAATCATGTATTGAATAGAAACAATGACTCATCAAAAATGACTTTAGAAATTTATTAAACGAATACAAATGCATGTTTCCTATATTTTTGTTTTTAAAGAAATTTGTGAATTTATTGTACAGTCCGACATCCAGTTTGTTATTTTCGGAAAGAGTAATTCTTGAAAAACTTTGAATCAAGTTTCCTGCATATCTGGTGTTGTGTTGGTGAATGTCGGAGTGTACAGTAAATTTATCGCGGTCATGGTGTATTGTTTTCAATGTTTCCAGTATGTACAGACAAGGTACTGGTAAGATAATATGCTTTTTAAAAAGCATTTGGCAAGGAGTTCCGTACTTGGCACCTTCCAAAATTCTGATCGCTGATTTTTGCATTTTAAACACATCTAAAGCTCCCACCGAATTTCCCCATAATACAATGCCGTAAGTAATATGGCTGTGAACAAGTGAAAAATATACTGTCCGTAAAGTTTTGTGGTTTAAAAGATCGCGTAAGTAGCGTAACACAAATATCTGTGATGAAAGCTTTGAACAAATATATTCCGTATGAGAGGACCAAGTCAACCTACAATCCAATTTAACACCTAAAAGTTTGACAGAGTCAGATTTTGGAGCCAATTTATTTGAATATAATAATAATAATAATAATAATAATAATAATAATAATAATAATAATAATAATAATAATAATAATAATAATAATAATAATAATAATAATAATAATAATAATAATAATAATAATAATAATAATAATAATAATAATAATAATAATAATAATAATAATAATAATAATAATAATAATAATAATAATAATAATAATAATAATAATAATAATAATAATAATAATAATAATAATAATAATAATAATAATAATAATAATAATAATAATAATAATAATAATAATAATAATAATAATAATAATAATAATAATAATAATAATAATAATAATAATAATAATAATAATAATAATAATAATAATAATAATAATAATAATAATAATAATAATAATAATAATAATAATAATAATAATAATAATAATAATAATAATAATAATAATAATAATAATAATAATAATAATAATAATAATAATAATAATAATAATAATAGATAGATAGATAGATAGATAGAAAGTTTATTGACTACTTTACATACTTTTCGGGTACATTTGAAGTCAGGTTACAAAAATAGTTTAAAATTACATTTTACAATAAACATAAAAACATTAAAATTAACATATAGAATTATAATAGTCATTAACATAAAAATATAATATTGAAGAACAAAATTAAACGTTACAGTAATTTTAGTTTCCTACTAGATTACAATAATATTTTAAACATTGTTACATGAACCTATTCGCTATATGAGATACATGAGTACAACAATGAAACAATAATAAAAAACACATATTACAAATAAAGAAAGTTTAAAAACATAATATTACTAATATTAAACATGTTACTGTAATTCTTCAATAAATTTTTCAATACTATAAAAGCAGTAATTTAATAAAAATGTTTTTGTAAATTTTTTAAATTGATTTTCTGTCATGGAGTCAAAATTTACATGAATAAAAAATTTTCTAAAATAATTGTACAGTGAAATGTCAAGAGTATTATCCTTAGTCATCTTAATTCTACATTTATTAATTACAAAATCTTTACAATTTCTTGTGTCATAATTATGGATATCTCTATGACGACTTAAGCTATTTACATTTTTGTGTGTTTCAATCAATGTTTCCATTATATAGACACAAGGGAGAGGCAGTATTTCGAGTCTTTTAAAAAGAGATTGACAAGGAGTGTTTTTCGGAGCATTACTTATTAATCTTACTACCGCTTTCTGCAAAGAAAATACTTTGTGTACATTGATTGAGTTACCCCACAGTAACACGCCATAGGAAAGGTTACTGTGAAATAACGCATAGTAAATAGACCGTAATAAGTGATCAGGCATGCAGTATTTTAATTGTCGAATAATAAAAATTTGAGTAGCCAATTTGGAACAGAGATTGTTTACATGATGTGTCCAGTTTAGGTTTGTATCTAAATGTATGCCTAATAATTTTACAGGATCCGATTTTGACGCCCATTTGTCCGAGCTGAACAATAAATGACTGGTTTTTGATTCATTTAGTTGCAATCTATTAGCTGAGAACCAGTCCCTGATCACGTCAGAACTATCCATCTGATTGGGATTTGACAGGATCGTGGTGTCGTCAGCGAATAGGATGCAAAACTCCTTAATAGCTCCTGGTAGATCATTTATATATATAATAAACAAAATGGGTCCCAATATCGAACCCTGAGGCACTCCATTTGATATAGGTAGAATATCTGACTGTTTATTATCGCAAACAACGTACTGAGCTCTATTTTTTAGATACGAAGCAAATAGTTTATGTTCTCTCCCTCTAATTCCGTAAAATTCTAATTTTTCTAACAAGATATCTGTAGGAACGCAATCAAAAGCTTTCGTTAAATCGTACATAGTAGCAATTGTACTTACGCCTTCGTCGAGGTTTTGAACTACCTCTTCTAAGAGTTTGATGAGAGCACGAATTGTGGTTTTGTTTTTCCTATAACCAAACTGACAATCTGTTAATAGTGATTTCGATTCAAGGTAAGAAATCAATTTTTCTTTAATGATGAGTTCAAAAACCTTGTTAATAGTTGGCAAGATTGCAATTGGTCTGAAATTGCCAGGCGAGTCCTTGTTACCTTTTTTGTATAATGGTAGAATTTTAGCGATTTTTAAATGATCAGGCCAGCAGCCTTCATCCACGCACTTATTAAAAAATAAAGTAAGCGGAGACACTAAACAATCTGCAGATTGTTTGATCATTCTGCTGTTTATGTTATAGTAATCTAAACATGTTGAGTTACTTAATTTTAATATCGCTTGTTGTACATCAGCCTCTAGAATAGCACTCATAAAAAAAGAGAAAGAAGGTTTTGTTAATTTATTTAGGTAAAACGTTGAATCATGTTTAGAATTTTCTATAGACTTTAAGATAGTTTCAGATATGGTTATAAAGAATTGATTAAACGTCTCTGGACATAATTCTGAGCAAACTGATTTTTGTTTTACTGATTTTCGTTCAGAATTTATAATTTTCCAACAAGATTTAATTTTATTATCTGAATTGGTGATGATATCTGCATATGCTCTTTTCTTTTCATCTTTGATAGCCTTTTGATAAGTTTTGTTTAAAATTTTATATGCGCACCAGTCAGATTCAGATTTTGTAAGTTTGAATATACTTTTAGCATTACTCACTTCTTTTCTCATATCACGTAACTTGCTGTTAAACCATTTAACTTCTTGTTTCTTTTCTTTAACTCTTTTTTCTGGAAAGCATAAATCGATATTTTGCTTTAAAATACTCAATATAGACGCTCCCAGTTCTGAGGCGTTTAAGTCATTAAAAATTAAACTATCCCAGGAAATCAGTGACAAGGAGTTCACAAATTTAGCCATGCTTTTATTATTAATAATCCGTTTAGGACTATCAACCTCTTGGTTATCTCTCCCTCCTGGCATAGTAACGAAAATATACTGACCATTATGATCAGATATATCTGGGTCTACCGTTCCTACTTTTATAATGTTTTGATCAAGATTGGTAACGATGTTATCTAAACATGACTCACTGTTTAAAACTAATCTGGTAGGTTCGTTAATCTTATAATATAATCCAAATGATAAAAAAATGTCACAAATAGTTTTGGCGTTACTCCCATTCTCAGGAAAATCTAAGTTAAAGTCACCCATTAATATAATATTGCTATATTTTTTGTATAAATATTCAAGGAGCTTAATTAATTGATCTTTAAAAATATTAAAATTATCTCTACTAGAAGATCTATAGATAGCAATTAAAACAGTTGAACAGTTATTTATTTCTACTCCACAGAACTCGGCATCATAAATAATTGAAAACTTATTCAAATCTATTGCTTTACATTTAATATTTGGTTTTGAAAATATTGCCACTCCCCCATGCTGCTTAGTGCATCGAGTGAAGTCAGACACTAATACATAGTCATTTATTTTTATTACATCTAAACAGGATTTATTGAGCCAATGCTCTGAAAAACAAATTACATCAAATAAATTATCGTAAAAAAAATGTTGATAATTCGTGGCATTTATTTGCGAGACTCCGAACATTTAAGTGAAAAATAGAAAAATTATATGAACAATTAACACCATTACTTTTGGTTATTGAATTTCTCGACGCGATTTCCGTGAAATCTTCTCGATGGAAAAAACTCATTGATAATTACACCACTTGGCCACAATTCTGGTTGTAAAATTTTTTCAATATCCTCAGCAGGAACAGATATTTTAAAAGATGCATAATCGAGAGGGTATCTTGCATTCAATTTTTCGACTCTTATAGCTGGTAGAATACTTTGCAGATATTTTGACAGTTCATCTTCCACGGTGTTGGGATCCCACTTAGTAGAGTGCAGATATTTCATTTCTTGTGTGATTGATGCCTTTAGGTTAAAACTTGAGTCAGCATTCATATTTCCGGTCAACAATTTTTTTGTTGGTTTTCTAGCTTTAAGATTGTAAAACTCGCTTTGAGAGGTGGAGTCTCTGTTCATATGAATTAAATTATGGCATGTATTTGATGCGTGAGCATTGGCAATAGCGGACGATACTACCGTGCTGGTGAAAGCAGGTTTTGATGAATTTCCTTGAGGTTCGTGAATTGCCGTGTTACGATTATTTTGATAAAAAACGGTTGGCTGAGATTCCGCTTTATTTATTTTTGTGGACGTGTCCACAATAGATCCTTGTTTCAGAAAATCAACTTGGCTTTGTAACGACCTAATAGCAATTTCTTGATTGTATACAATCATATCTTTGTTTCTTATAATCTCTTCAAGAAATTTTACTTTCATTTCTAATTCAGAAATTGAATATGATGGCTTATGACTTACAGATGGTGGTATTTGTTCGCTGGAATTATCTGAGCAACAATTACATGTGTTATCATCAATTATTACAGCATGTTTTACAGATTTTAAGCAACTAGGATGCGATACAACTCCACAAATAACACATGTTAGTCCTGTAGTAACACTCTTCTTACATCTCTTGCATTTATTATCACCCATTTTGCACAAAAGAATTAACGAAAATTGCAAAATAAACAGCAGATATCCAACAAGAATTTGTTAAATTTCTAACCGTGGTGGAATATTTTCGTCAAGATAGACAAAAAGTGTTTGAAATAATGGTCGAAATAATGTATACAGATAAAAATAGTGTACCTGTGGTATCTTAAAATGCAGTTTTTCGGCTTAATACACAGTTATTTCACTCACCCACATTTGTACAAACTGTTTATGCACCACAGTTGCACTAGTTCACTTTAAAACAAATTAATACTTATTTAAACCAGCATTTTAGGCTTATTAACGTTAGAGGTTTTAAAAGCACTTGTTATATGGTAGAATATTCCACCAGAATGATAATAATAATAATAATAATAATAATAATAATAATAATAATAATAATAATAATAATAATAATAATAATAATAATAATAATAATAATAATAATAATAATAATAATAATAATAATAATAATAATAATAATAATAATAATAATAATAATAATAATAATAATAATAATAATAATAATAATAATAATAATAATAATAATAATAATAATAATAATAATAATAATAATAATAATAATAATAATAATAATAATAATAATAATAATAATAATAATAATAATAATAATAATAATAATAATAATAATAATAATAATAATAATAATAATAATAATAATAATAATAATAATAATAATAATAATAATAATAATAATAATAATAATAATAATAATAATAATAATAATAATAATAATAATAATAATAATAATAATAATAATAATAATAATAATAATAATAATAATAATAATAATAATAATAATAATAATAATAATAATAATAATAATAATAATAATAATAATAATAATAATAATAATAATAATAATAATAATAATAATAATAATAATAATAATAATAATAATAATAATAATAATAATAATAATAATAATAATAATAATAATAATAATAATAATAATAATAATAATAATAATAATAATAATAATAATAATAATAATAATAATAATAATAATAATAATAATAATAATAATAATAATAATAATAATAATAATAATAATAATAATAGGGGTGGGTTGGCTCAGTGGTTAGAGTCAAGACTTTGAGATCGGAAGGTCTCAGGTTCGAATCCCACCGTTGGCCGGGATTTTTTCATTTAATTTAATTATTTGAAATTAATTCTGATGCCTTGGTAGGATTCCCCACTCGACCATTCACTGTTGGGTTCTAATTAACAGTGCTGTTCCTAAAGTGGCGCTGGGAAACAGTAACAAAGCCTACACAGAACACGAGGCTAATGGCCGTAGTAGTCGACGCCGATGACACCAAAATAAAAAAAAAAAAAAAAAAATAATAATAATAATAATAATAATAATAATAATAATAATAATAATAATAATATTATATAATAATAATACTAATAATAATAATAATAATAATAATAATAATACTAATAATAATAATAATAATAATAATAATAATAATAATAATAATAATAATAATAATAATAATAATAATAATAATAATAATAATAATAATAATAATAATAATAATAATAATAATAATAATAATAATAATAATAATAATAATAATAATAATAATAATAATAATAATAATAATAATAATAATAATAATAATAATAATAATAATAATAATAATAATAATAATAATAATAATAATAATAATAATAATAATAATAATAATAATAATAATAATAATAATAATAATAATAATAATAATAATAATAATAATAATAATAATAATAATAATAATAATAATAATAATAATAATAATAATAATAATAATAATAATAATAATAATAATAATAATAATAATAATAATAATAATAATAATAATAATAATAATAATAATAATAATAATAATAATAATAATAATAATAATAATAATAATAATAATAATAATAATAATAATAATAATAATAATAATAATAATAATAATAATAATAATAATAATAATAATAATAATAATAATAATAATAATAATAATAATAATAATAATAATAATAATAATAATAATAATAATAATAATAATAATAATAATAATAATAATAATAATAATAATAATAATAATAATAATAATAATAATAATAATAATAATAATAATAATAATAATAATAATAATAATAATAATAATAATAATAATAATAATAATAATAATAATAATAATAATAATAATAATAATAATAATAATAATAATAATAATAATAATAATAATAATAATAATAATAATAATAATAATAATAATAATAATCTGGTGTGGAGTTGCGAATCTCCCATCCAGCGCGTCCCCGGGTGGTGGATAGGGGAATGCTTCCCATTTATGGGTGGTACCGGTCAAATGAAATAGCCGGCGCGAACCAAAATTGGCACAAAGGAGCAAACCTTGGAAAAAATCTCCCAACGCTAAGCTGTAGACCGTGGCGAGGGTGTGCGTGACTCCGGGAAAGAGGAGCCACAAACGGTCCCCCGACATCATGGCGAGGGTGTGCGGGATGTAGGCTATTTATAGCAAGGCCTTGCTGTGGTAAGGGAGCACTGCCATGGTTGACTTTTAGATCTACCCTACTCGTGGGATATGCATGGAATCCACTCAAAAACCAATAAATGGTGGTGATGGGCCACCTAAAAACCCTTCAACCACGTCAACTAGCATTGAGACGGCGAATTTAAATTCTCGGTTCGTGTTGGTTAAGGTTACCGATGGTAACTTTGATAAAGTCAGTCCATTTATAATATCGAAAACATTATATGGTTTAGTTGGAGAAATAAAAAGTGTAAAGAAAATTAAAGAAGGCTTATTAATTCAAACGACCTCAAATGCACAGACAAAACGTTTACTCGAAGTTAAAAGATTCGCAGGTTTAGATGTTTCAACTTTAACACATCCAACTTTAAATTCATCAAGAGGTGTTATTTTTTGTCACGATCTACTGAATTGTACAACTGAAGAAATAGTAAAAGAACTAGAACCTATAGGTGTTACAAACGTAAGAAGATTAAAAACTAGGAAAGATGGAATATTAGTCGACTCTCCCTCACACGTTTTAACATTTAACACACCAAAATTACCCGACTCAATTAAAGTGGCATATTATAAATTGAATATTCGACCATATATACCTCCTCCAGTTAGATGCTTTCAATGTCAGTTATTTGGTCATGTGGCACAAAAATGCCCCAACAATAAAATATGCGCATGCGGAAAAGAACCTCATGATCCTCCTTGCATTGATCCAAAAAAATGTGTTAATTGTGAAGGAAGCCATTCAGCCAACTATAAGAACTGCCCTAAATATAAAATTGAAGAAGCAATCCAGAGAATAAAAGTTACCGAAAAAGTCACGTATTCAGAAGCAAAAAAGAAAGTTATAGTAAACACTCCAATAACTAACGTTTCATATGCTACAGCATCGAAAAATCTAACACCCCAAGTAAACGTTGAAAACCTAATAAGTAATTTCATACCCCAGATAGAGTCAATTATTAAGAAAGTAATGACCAACATTATTATCCCACAACCACCCCTACCACCCCTTCCATCTCAATCGACAGAGCTACCCCCCCCCTCGTTACTCCCTAAGACATAAACGAACCAGATCCGAGAGTTCTGATATCGAATCGCTGACTAGCGAGACACAATACAGCTCTCAAGCTGAAAAAACTAAAAAAAAACATAAACAGAAAAGAGGTAGACCACGGAAAACAGACAAAATCAATACAGAGTTAAGCCCAGAACCTAATAAGGATTCTGTTGTTCTTCCTCAGATCCCACTATCACCTTTACCTTTGATAGTTAACTCATCTTAATATATTCACTTTATAAATATCGTAAAGCACTTATTATACAATTATTTTTGTACATTTATTTTATATACATATTTTATACATATTATTATATACATAAATCTTATACATATATTTTATACATATATTTTACCCACATATTTACAAAAATCTAATTATTTATCTATACATTTTATATTAGTATTCACTTACCTTCAATTATTACAATATATATCTCTACAAACTATGTATTTAAATACTATTCATATTATATCTATTTTACATAATATAAAACATATCTTACGTTCTATATACAACAAAATTAAATTCACTTCTATTAACAAATATATTCATATACCTTCAAACCAAATAAAATGTCAACTTTCGAAAAAATCATCCAATGGAATTGTAATGGCTTAAAATACCATTATATGGAACTAAAAGAAATCCTTTTACAAGAAAATCCCTTTTGTTTGTGTCTCCAAGAAACACACCTAAAAGAAAATGAACAATTTTCATTAAGACAATATAATGCCTTTAAAAAAAACATTAACACAGGCCAAAGAGCTCACGGTGGAGTTGCTATATTTATAAAGGAAAATATACATGTAGAAGAAATCCAACTTAATACCAACATCCAAGCAGTTGCACTAAAATTAAACTATCCACATAAAATGACAATCTGCAATATATATTTTCCTGATATAAATTGGACTGCAGAAGATCTAAAACATCTTATCGAACAACTCCCTACTCCAATCTTACTGATGGGCGATTTTAATTCGCATAACACTCTTTGGGGCTCTAGATCAACAGATCGTAGGGGTAGAATTCTTGAACAAATAACAGATGAATACAATCTTAACATATTAAACAATGGAGAAGGAACCTACATCAATTCTAGATCAAACACACTTTCTCCATTAGATCTATCAATTTGCTCACCTATACTAGAACCTAAAATAAAATGGTCAGTCTTCGAGGAATGTAATACAGATCACATTCCTATATTAATTGAATTTAGTGAGAGAATAATGTATAACAACCTACCAAGCAAATGGCTCCTAAATAAAGCAAACTGGTACATTTATCAAGGCCTTATGGACAATTACTCTGCTGAAATCGATGACCCAAATGAATCAGTGGATAGCTTTAGTAAAGCCATTCTTCAAGCTGCAAAACT